TCATTGAATATATGATATACATGTATATATAATTCCAACAGTATAGGTAAGTCATATCAGACAAAGTCTTACCATGCAAAATTATTGTTTGATAGTAAAAACAAACAGTTCAAATAAATTGTCAAAATAGTAACCTAATGATTAGATTTTAAGCAAATAAGTAATGACTAGGATTTGGAAAGATGCATTATGACTCGCAAAAGCACTTGCATTTGGAAAAAAGAAAGAAAAAGAAAGTCAATTGATTTAAACCTTGAAGGATGCCCGTATAGTAATGGAACCGTCATGCTAAGCATCAGTGTACGGTTCAATTAATGTCAGTAAAACCTTAAACCCTCCAAAAACAGTGAAGTGTTCCATTAATGTCAATAAGACATTAAATCCTCCGCCATCAGTGAAGTGCTCCATCAATTCCAATAAGACATAAAACCCTCCAGAAAAAGTAAAGTGTTCAATTAAAGTCAATAAGACATTAAACCCTCCAGAATAAGTAAAGTGTTCCATTAATTTCAATAAGACATAAAACCCTCCAGAATAAGTAAAGTGTTCCATTAAAGTCAATAAGACATTAAATCATTCACCATCAGTGAAGTGTTCCATTAAAGTCAATAAGACATTTTAATCCTCCAGCATCAGTGAAGTGCTCCATTAAAGTCAGTAAGACATTTAACCCTCCAGCATCAGTGAAGTGCTCCATTAACGTCAATAAGACATTAAATCCTACAGCTTCAGTGAAGTGCTCCATTAATGTCAATAAGATATTAAACTCTCAAGCATCAGTGAAGTGCTCCATTAATTCCAATAAGACATTAAAGCCTACAGCATAGGTGATGAGTTCCATTAATGTCAGTAAGACATTAAACCCTACAGCATCAGTGAAGTGCTCCATTAATGTCAATAAGACATTAAATCCTCAAGCATCAGTAAAGTGCTCCAGTAATGTCAATAAGACATTAAATCCTACAGCATCAGTGAAGTGCTCCATTGATTCCAATAAGACATTAAATCCTACAGCATAGGTGATGAGTTCCATTAATGTCAGTAAGACATTAAACCCTACAGCATCAGTGAAGTGTTTCATTCATTCCAATAAGACATTAAATCCTACAGCATAGGTGATGAGTTACATTAATGTCAGTAAGACATTAAACCCTACAGCATCAGTGAAGTGCTCCATTGATTCCAATAAGACATTAAATCCTACAGCATAGTTGATGAGTTCCATTAATGTCAGTAAGACATTAAACCCTACAGCATCAGTGAAGTGCTCCATTAATGTCAATAAGACATTAAATGAGTTCCATGAATGCCAGTAAGACATTAAATCCTTCAGCATAAGTAAAGTGCTCCAATAAAGTCAGTAAGACATTAAATCCTACAGCATCAGTGAAGTGCTCCATTAAGGTCAAGAACACTTTTAACCCTCCAGCATAAGTGATGAGTTCCATTAATATCAATAGGACAGTCTACCCTCCAGCATCAGTTAAGTGTTCCATTATTGTTAATATGACATTATACCTGATAGCATAGGTGAAATGTTCCATTAAAGTCAGTAAGACATTAAACCCTCCAGCATCAGTAAAGTGTTTCATTAAAGTCAATACGACATTAAAACCTACAGCATAGGTGATGAGTTCCATTAATGTCAATAAGACATTTAATCCTCCAGCATCAGTGAAGTGCTCCATTAATGTCAATAAGACATTAAATCCTACAGCATCAGTGAAGTGCTCCATTAATGTCAATAAGACATTAAATCCTACAGCATCAGTGAAGTGCTCCATTAATGTCAATAAGACATTAAATCCTACAGCATCAGTGAAGTGCTCCATTAATGTCAATAAGACATTAAATCCTACAGCATCAGTGAAGTGCTCCATTAATGTCAATAAGACATTAAATCCTACAGCATCAGTGAAGTGCTCCATTAATGTCAATAAGACATTAAACCCTCCAGCATCAGTAAAGTGTTCCATTAAAGTCAATAAGACATTAAACCCTACAGCATAGGTGAAGTGTTCCATTAATGTCAATAAGACATTAAATCCTCCAGCATCAGTGAAGTGCTCCATTAATGTCAATAAGACATTAAATCCTACAGCATCAGTGAAGTGCTCCATTAATGTCAATAAGACATTAAACCCTCCAGCATCAGTAAAGTGTTCCATTAAAGTCAATAAGACATTAAACCCTACAGCATAGGTGAAGTGTTCCATTAATGTCAATAAGACATTAAATCCTCCAGCATCAGTGAAGTGCTCCATTAATGTCAATAAGACATTAAATCCTACAGCATCAGTGAAGTGCTCCATTAATGTCAATAAGACATTAAATCCTACAGCATCAGTGAAGTGCTCCATTAATATCAATAAGACATTAAACCCTCCAGCATCAGTGAAGTGTTCCATTATTGTTAATATGACATTATACCTGATAGCATTAGTGAAATGTTCCATTAAAGTCTGTAAGACATTAAATCCTCCAGCATCAGTAAAGTACTCCATTAATTCCAATAAGACATTAAATCCTACAGCATAGGTGATGAGTTCCATTAATGTCAATAAGACATTAAATCCTCCAGCATCAGTGAAGTGCTCCATTAAGGTCAAGAACACTTTTAACCCTCCAGCATAAGTGATGAGTTCCATTAATGTCAATAGGACACTCTACCCTCCAGCATCAGTTAAGTGCTCCTTTAAGTCAATAAAACAATATACCCACCAGCATCAGTGAAGTGTTCCATTATTGTTAATATGACATTAAACCCTCCAGCATCAGTAAAGTGTTCCATTAAAGTCAATAAGACATTAAACCCTACAGCATAGGTGAAGTGTTCCATTAATGTCAATAAGACATTAAATCCTCCAGCATCAGTGAAGTGCTCCATTAATGTCAATAAGACATTAAATCCTACAGCATCAGTGAAGTGCTCCATTAATGTCAATAAGACATTAAATCCTACAGCATCAGTGAAGTGCTCCATTAATTCCAATAAGACATTAAATCCTACAGCATAGGTGATGAGTTCCATTAATGTCAATAAGACATTAAATCCTCCAGCATCAGTGAAGTGCTCCATTAAGGTCAAGAACACTTTTAACCCTCCAGCATAAGTGATGAGTTCCATTAATGTCAATAGGACACTCTACCCTCCAGCATCAGTTAAGTGCTCCTTTAAGTCAATAAAACAATATACCCACCAGCATCAGTGAAGTGTTCCATTATTGTTAATATGACATTAAACCCTTCAGCATCAGTAAAGTGTTCCATTAAAGTCAATAAGACATTAAACCCTACAGCATAGGTGAAGTGTTCCATTAATGTCAATAAGACATTAAATCCTCCAGCATCAGTGAAGTGCTCCATTAATGTCAATAAGACATTAAATCCTACAGCATCAGTGAAGTGCTCCATTAATGTCAATAAGACATTAAATCCTACAGCATCAGTGAAGTGCTCCATTAATTCCAATAAGACATTAAATCCTACAGCATAGGTGATGAGTTCCATTAATGTCAATAAGACATTAAACCCTCCAGCATCAGTGAAGTGCTCCATTAATGTCAATAAGACATTAAACCCTCCAGCATCAGTGAAGTGCTCCATTAATGTCAATAAGACATTAAACCCTCCAGCATCAGTGAAGTGCTCCATTAATGTCAATAAGACATTAAACCCTCCAGCATCAGTGAAGTGCTCCATTAATGTCAATAAGACATTAAACCCTCCAGTATCAGTGAAGTGCTCCATTAATGTCAATAAGACATCAAACCCTCCAGCATCAGTGAAGTGCTCCATTAATGTCAATAAGACATTAAATCCTCCAGTATCAGTGAAGTGCTCCATTAATGTCAATAAGACATCAAACCCTCCAGTATCAGTGAAGTGCTCCATTAATGTCAATAAGACATCAAACCCTCCAGCATAAGTGAAGGAAACACTCAATGTTAATAAGACATTTAAATCTCCATCATCAGTGAAGGGTTCCATTAATTTCATTTTTGCCAGTGAAATATCGGATTCCATCAACTTGATAAAACTGATATCTTTCACTCTGTGAAAATATCACTTTTTGATATTGACCAATCATAACGGTATCTTCTATTCGCTGCATTCAAAGGCAACGATTTGTTTTGTTCCGATTCAAATGATGCGACGGTAGAATAAGTCGTGGTATTTGTTTGGTGCATACACTTAAGTAATTACATAAATATACAATTGATAACATTTTTATAAACAATCATACCAGAAAATTGCAGAAAACCTCGGATATTGTGTTGAGTATCCCATTCAAAATGGCGCGCAGCCTTGTTGTCAAGCGTTACGTCATTAGAATATGGCCCAATTTATTACGCTTCTGATTCCCGCCTTTTTGAAACGCATTACATGTTTTCATGTTTAATGCTTTAAAAATGCAACAAATAGAAAATTCAATGGTGTCTTCAGTAATACCGAATATATTTCGTGAGTGTGGCAAATATTTTGATATTTTTCACGAGTGCGCAATTTAATTTGAGATATCTTATACTTTTTTGACTCCTCTTTAGATATTACATAATAACTTACATGTAGCTTGCCATACGTCCCACTACAGCGTATACAGATGCTAACCCTCTCACGTAATAGTAGATCAATATTTCGAGGTACAACCACAACTGACTTATATAATGGGCAGTTGCTCATCAATGAAACAGGTGTTCAACTTGGGCCGCATTATTGATAACATGACTGATGTTTAAGCTGGAAGGTTTCCTGTTCTGTAGTCATTAATTGCGACTCTAATATCAAATTAACGAACATTTAATCGGATTAAGGGGAGATAATTGAACATGTCATTCTAGTACCTTGGTTAGGTTTCGCATTAATCATCATATTATTTGATTAGTTTTGCGTGATTGTAGAACAACCATGTCATATTACTCAAGAGTCACTAAATTATCTGTGATCTTTCATAACCACAACTACACAGTGTGTTCTTATACCATATTTTTCACTTTCAGAATTCAAGGAAGCATTTACGCTGTTCGATAAGGATGGAGACGGAACGATCACGACGAGCGAGCTAGGTACGGTGATGCGATCACTCGGACAGAACCCCACTGAGACTGAGCTCCAGGACATGATCAACGAGGTAGACGCGGATGGTAAGTCGACCCGGGTCTGTCGTATGTTTGACATTTTGTCTGTCTTATATCCGATTTAGTATCCATATGATGTCCGGCCATCGCATACGTAAAAACCTTGTATTCATCTTGTATTCATCTTTCCAATTCTGTTTACGTCTTTCTCCTGGGCTTCAAATAAGTTAATATCTGACCGTATGTCTATCTTACGATCTCCGACCTTCCTCATATGATTACGTTCAACTGTACGTCTAGCTGACGCCATCCGACCTTCCACCTATAATTGGGTTCGATTGTACACCTGTATTACGACCTCCGACCTTCCACCTATAATTGGGTTCGACTGTACATCTATCTTTCGTCCAATTTTATATCACATTTCGTTATATATTTAAATATTGTCTCTGTTTTGCGGCCCGGTTTCTGTTTAATATTTCAATTTATATTCGTTTTACAGCCATGACTTTTTGTCTGGAGCTTTCGTCCGTCTCACAGGCGGTATTGTGGCTGTATTATGTCAAGGTATCCATCCGTCTTATATCCAGTTTTTTTATCTGTAATTCGTTTTACTTGGCGTTTTCATTTGTCTGGCATCCTAAGCTGACTTGTGTGACTAGGCTACATTAACAGGACATAACAATAACTCACTTGACTTAGGATATAAATGTCTATATATTATTGTTAATGCAGTAAGTTTGTTTGACTAAAAATAAACAGAAATATCTATTCATCGATAATGCGGATAGCTAACGCTGCCACAAAGCAGAGTTATGACATATTTGAAACATTCAGCTATCCAAGTTGCTCTAGCTTTTAGCAGATGGAATGTGATTTTCCGAACCTAGATCTTCAGCGTAATCTTTTTCATCTGATAACGACCGGAAGTAATTCCAGTACGCCGTGTCCTGTAGTAGTAAGATATATTGGCGTGGAGCCGACAGACTAAGAGGATATTCTCGTAGAATGACCGGAAGCAATGTCAGACTGACAGAACCTTCCTCCCGGATTTCACATTGGTTTAAGACCATATGCCATAGATACTATTTCCAATGACGTCGACGGCTTCCTGAAGTCTGTAGCGTCTCCCAAAAGTACGTAACATATTGAATATACCCAGACAACAACTGATCTACAGAAAGTGACACTTCATGGAACAGCTAGAGTATTTCTATTTGTAAATCCAACAAAGAGTAAACTTGATCTGTAATTAATGATCGGAACGCTTGGAAAAATTATATCCATTAGTCACAGGAGTGAAGTGAATGCATATTTCATAATAACAAGGGTCGTCTCAAATCGGCTCACAAATTATTATCCGTGGTTATAGGTCCCTTGCAACCAGTTTTTCTCAACTCCCTTGGGAGTATACAGCCGGTGCTGCCATTTCGGCGCTCACAGCTAGCATTCTCAATTTTAGCACTATTCAACCACGTACTCATATTTACAGCTGAGTAGACTGGAACAAGCGGAGGAAAGTATCTCGCTCAAGGATACAACACAGTATCGTGACGTGAGTCGAACTCGCAACCCTTCGTTTACGAGCCCGGCGTCCTACCACTAGACTACCGTTCCTTCAGTTCATCCAAACCTTTAAAATTCTATCAATAATTTTCAGTATTTGTATTTTCTTCGTGATTTGCACTTGTCTCATCCTGTTGGAAGCTTATTGTGACGTCATATACATTGTATTATTGTTCTCGTGACGTCATAACCCTTGTTGTAATCGGATCGCTTCCCCCTCTTACGATAAAAGACTCGGAACCTAACGTATGAATACTGCTTAGTTTCAAAGAAATTGTGTAAATTGTCTGAATATCTCTTATCAAACCAAAATAATAAACAGTTAAGGAAACATGATAGCCCTTTGATAATATGATTGTCTTTAATGAAAACAAATACACGTTGGGGTTGTTTGAAGAAGATATAGATTACGTAAAAACTGGGTTTGAGATTAATTTTAAAAAGAAGCAAGTAGAGGCATCCCTGTAACAAACAAAAGTATCACCGGAACGACATTTTTAATGGCCACCTTGCCACTGGTAGCATACTTACACAGCATTGAGCTGCCATTTTTATGCACATGTCATGTGATCAGAAGTAGTCACAACATGTCGTCTACTTATCTCCGTGGTTATTTTCCGGAAATGGCCGATCGTGGTCTGTATGTACTGAACAGGTAGAAGGGAGACAACTTGTAAACGCCGAGAAAAAGTTTCACAACACCAAACACAGTTAATAAACTAAAGTTTATAAAAGAGTAAATAATCTTTTCCAATTTGGAAGTTTGTTTCTAAAATTCGTTGCAGTATATATCTAGTCCGGGACTCACACAACTAAGCCATTTGCAATATGTTATCACTAAGCTTTTGAGCTATAAGCGTTAATATTTGAAGTTCAACATTAGTGACCAACTATCTAGATTCATCAATGCATACTTGACAAAGGCTTCAAAAGGCATTTTTGGCAGATTTAGTGACATATAAGAGCGCAACATGATTCTGCTTTTGACAACCGGAAGTTTACAAGCCAAACCGGTGATGCGACTCGGAAACAACCCCTGACTTTTGACCCCATATAAATCCGCCATCACATATCAAAATCATACTATTCATTCAATAAAATTTGTCAATGTTTACACATTTGAATTACTCAGAAGCATTATTTGACTAGAACAAATTTTAAGTAGGCATTGCAGTCGTATGAAACATTGCTGATTGGCTGATTTACAGTTGTGTTAGTCCTTCAAGGATTAATAGTAAAGCCTCTCGTCTCTAAGGACTGGTAAACTGCCCATTTGTTATTATGGTTTGGTTGTAGTATCCAAAAGTTGTTAAAAAGGATGTTTGATAGATATATTTCGTAGTTTTAAAAGTTTTTTTTGTCTTTTGTTTTCAAGGGTTGGTATTTTTGTTCCTTGGTTTATATAGGTTGGAAACTGTTTACCTTTAGTTGTAAGGCCTGCTAATACTTAACCGTCAGTTCCAAGATTTGTTAGTAGTCGACTTTCATTTCACAATGTTTAGTAGGTGTCTAGAGGTATGAAGATATTTGACCACTCAATCTCTTATTTTATTTGGATAATCTTAGACAGGCGCCGTATTACTGTGTTTGTGGTGACTCAGTTTCTTTGGTAAATATGTGCTGACACAGTTTGGTAAATATGTGTTGACACAGTTTGGTAAATATTTGATGACACAGTTTGGTAAATATGTGTTGACACAGTTTGGTAAATGTCACGTATCTGTGATGAAGGATTAGCAGAAATTTCATTGTTTACTGATGAAATTAGTGTACATTTACGTATCTTTGATGACAAGGGTAGAAGACACTGACTACTGTTGACATTATTGTACAGTAACGTATCTTTGATGACAAGCGTAGAAGACACTAACCACTGTTGACATTATTGTACAGTTACGTTTCTTTGATGACAAGGGTAGAAGACACTGAATACGATTGACATTATTGTACAGTTACGTATCTTTGATGACAAGGGTAGAAGACACTGACTACTGGAGACATTATTGTCCAGTAACGTATCTTTGATGACAAGGGTAGAAGACACTGACTACTGTTGACAATATTGTACAGTTACGTATCTTTGATGATAAGGGTAGAAGACACTGACTACTGGTGACATTATTGTACAGTTAGGTATCTTTGATGACAAAGGTAGAAGACACTCACTACTGTTGACAATATTGTCCAGTTACGTATATTTGATGACAAGGGTAGAAAACACTGACTACGGTTGACATTATTGTACAGTTACGTATCTTTGATGACAAAGGTAGAAGACACTCACTACTGGTGACAATATTGTCCAGTTACGTATCTTTGATGACAAGGGTAGAAGACTCTGACTACTGTTGACAATATTGTACAGTTACGTATCTTTGATGATAAGTGTAGAAGACACTGACTACTGGTGACATTATTGTACAGTTACGTATCTGTGATGACAAGGGTAGAAGACACTGACTACTGTTGACAGTATTGTACAGTTACGTATCTTTGATGACAAGGGTAGAAGACACCGAATACGATTGACATTATTGTACAGTTACGTATCTTTGATGACAAGGGTAGAAGACACTGACTACTGTTGACAATATTGTACAGTTACGTATCTTTGATGACAAGGGTAGAAGACACTGACTACGGTTGACATTATTGTACAGTTACGTATCTTTGATGACAAGGGTAGAAGACACTGACTACTGTTGACAATATTGTACAGTTACGTATCTTTGATGACAAGGGTAGAAGACACTGACTACTGTTGACATTATTGTACAGTTACGTATCTTTGATGACAAGGGTAGAAGACACTGACTACTGTTGACATTATTGTACAGTTACGTATCTTTGATGACAAGGGTAGAAGACACTGACTACTGTTGACATTATTGTACAGTTACGTATCTTTGATGACAAGGGTAGAAGACACTGACTACTGTTGACATTATTGTACAGTAACGTATCTTTGATGACAAAGGTAGAAGACACTCACTACTGTTGACAATATTGTCCAGTTACGTATCTTTGATGACAAGGGTAGAAGACACTGACTACTGTTGACAGTATTGTACAGTTACGTGTCTTTGATAACAAGGGTAGAAGACACTGACCCCTGTTGACATTATTGTACAGTTACGTATCTTTGATGACAAGGGTAGAAAACACTGACTACTGGTGACATTATTGTCCAGTTACGTATCTTTGATGACAAGGGTAGAAGACACTGACTACTGTTGACATTATTGTACAGTTAGGTATCTTTGATGACAAGGGTAGAAGACACTGACTACTGGTGACATTATTGTCCAGTTACGTATCTTTGATGACAAGGGTAGAAGATACTGACTACTGTTGACATTAACGTACAGTCTGTTTATATGATGACACAAATTAGTAAACACTAGCTAAGATGCTGAGGCTATCAACGTATCTCTGATGACACAGAGGTTTGTAAACGTTTAGTAAACGTATATTGTGATGGAAATTTCTGATATACCTAATCAATATTCATAAACTTGAGAAATTAATAAATCAGACGAATTATGTTTATTCACACTAACTACCCAGATAAACATGTATGCAATGGCTTTGCCTTGAACTGTTTGTACCTATTAGTGTCACATGAATTGAGTAATATAGATTAATATTTTGTAGAATAAATTAACATTATGTAGATTTAATTACCATTACGTAGCCGTAATTAACATTAGACATACATATATAATGCGACCATGTTTTTGTAAGAGAATAAGTGAACATTAACTAATGGCCACCCTAGCACTGTCTCATTTTCCATGAGTATGAACCATCGCTCATAGAAGAATGATTACGTCATATCCACAGGGTTAATTAGATAGGGTTTAGTCCTCGGTGAGGTCGAGAATGCTTCAGGACAGTCGTGTGTAGTAGGTATTAGTTCTACCGTCATTGATTAAGTTGTCAAAAGAATGGTGGCATGGAGGCCAGCAAAGAGCGTCTAGAGCCGTGGTGCTTTGCTACCTTCTAATATCCATTCTTTTTACTTAAAATAAACGAGACAGTGTTAAGTGAACGAATCTGTTTATCCCCCTTAGCTGTAATGCTGTGTAATCCTCGGTGAACTTACATGTTTTAAGGAGATAATACTCTTCCCAAGTATCGTACCCACTCACTGAACGAAAACACTCAGATATTGCGTCTAATAAATAATTTCTAAAAAAAAAAAAGGTTTTAAAGGTTTTTTTTGATGATTTTTTCCTTCGATTATTTTTCAGAAATGGCAATGTCTAACAACAGTTAAGTTTGGTTCAGCTATCAAAGTAATTTCATTTTCGCTGTGAAGGTTTTGTCATTTTGAATACATGACTACAAATCACCTATATCCAGCAGGTATTTGCTGGCTTGTTTTAATTGATTGTAAGTGTCCTAAGATATTTGTCATGAAAAAAGTGCAAAATCTCTTTCCCTTACTTTGTTAAAGGGAGGGTGTCTATAAGGCCCTTTTTTGGGCCCCGGTATATTCGGATTTTCACCTCCTCTTGTTCAAAGATGTCCTATTGTATGACTTGCTGAAAAACCACGGTAAAACCTTGACCGAAAGTGGGTTTCTGGGGGTACCAAAAGGGGTATGGTAAATCACAAATATAGTTTGCTGTTTTCAAAATGAGCTTAAAAACCAAAATGATACCATTTCTGGTTTTGAAAACATGTATAAATTAGACAAGCATATGTAACAGAATGAAAAATGACAGAAATTCAATCGTCACTTAAATTGTTTATATAAAACGAAGGATTACATCAGGGGGGTCTTTTCGGTCATTTTAAATTGAAAAATAATTTGTTTCTCAATAATTTCCTTTAAAATTAATATTTTGACTTGAAATTTACAACCTATTCGGAACTGTACCGAGCTTCCCTCATTTCACATCTGTAATCCGGTAAGCTCACAGTTATGGAGGGTATATTACCGTAAGTAAGACTAATCATTTTTTGGTTAAAAGAGTTAACGTTTTACGGACCAATACAGACCAACTGCTGTGGGCTAGGTAAGTGACCAGTGGGTTCGGTAAGTGGCCTTGGGTTTGGTGTTTGAGTTCCATAAGAGTCAAGTGTTGAATTCTATAGTTGTTTGGTTTGGTGAATTTGAAGGATTGTATTAAACTTTCAACAGCTATTTCTAATCATGCTGTAGTGCAATTAGTGTGTTTGATTTTGCAACTCAAAACAATAGAGTTACATGTAAGCTGACTAACTTTATTGTCCATTTTGTGTAGTGAATTAGTATTAACTTTCGTTCCCAGGCTCTATGTGTGAGAAACACACCGGTAATGAGAGGAATAGCAGGTGTGTGTGTTGCTGCATTAGCTTAGCGAAGTAGAGCAACTCTAATACTAGCTAGCGCTGTCTTATTTTGGTAGCCATCCTCGTGTAAGTTGGCGGCTGTGTTATGTTTGAAAGGCGAGGCAATTATTTACTAATAATTTAAATAAGAATATATATGGTGTATTTTGATATGGATCACAACAAACTCCATCCGCCTCATTAACGAGAGCAGACAGAGTAGGGAAGAAAACTAACATACTTGTAGGTCGGTGTGTGTGTTAAATATCTTAGGTTTGAAAATAATATATTCAGGAAATTATAGCAAGCTCATTTTGTTATACATTGTAATGTGTTGAAATTGCCTTTTTTTTTTTACAATATTTCATACTTAATTGAAATGAATTTATATATGTGTAAGCATCGAACTGTTTTTGTATGGTATTTATGATCTATTTGAATGACACAGCTTTGAAAGCAAACAACATAATGAATAGATCATATACAATACAAAAACAGTTCAATACTTATATTTACGTTTTCTCTGACTCTTATGTTCTTTTTTAACTTTTAATTTATATTTAAAATCAAAAATGCCAATAGTTTGAACAGCGTATTGTCGCGTGCTGATTGGCAAACAAAGTAGTACTTTGAAATTTTAACAAACGCTTCAATTTTGTTCCAAAATTCAGTATCAATACAATTGCGTATGTCTATAGGGTGATTTAATTTTATCAATAGATCTCTGAGCTGAAAGTTAGATTTGAAATTGTTTCGATTTTTCACCGGAACAAATACAGTGAACACCGTAAATCCGACCTTGCCCTCCACGAGGGAGTTATTTTTGGAAGTTAATTCGAACTTTTCTCGTTGCTCATTTTGTGAAGAATCTAGGCGTGAATGTATTTGTTGATTGTATGGGAACCTGACAACAGTCGATAGATTCTATAACAGCATCGTTATTTGACACGTCGTTAGAAACTGAGGACCCGTGGATGCGAGACATTATGACGTCACAGAAGGCATACACATAAATCCATGACGTCAACAACAATACAAGCTAAATTGTGACGTTACATTACTTAGACAAATGCATAACTTTATGATCTTACCAACAATAAAAAATACGGGAGATACAAATTGTTTCATTTACGGTAACAATAAAATATGAACAATAATATTTAAAGCACAGCAATTGCTTAAAGCATGACACGTTGAATTTAATGTGAACTATTCAGACTGGGTTTCAACAGTTTCATTAACTCCGGAGTTATAATGACTTTGCATTATTGATGACGTCATACTTTCTTGTGTAAACAACTATGACCTCACAATATCTGTTTTCAAAATAAACAGTCTCCTGATGAACGGGGAATCAACCCGAGAAAGGCCTAGAGACGCTATCTCTGTCTTTTGTTCTATTTTTTATATTTAATTCCAACACAAGGACTTCTTAATGCTTTCTTTATATATCTATATATATATATTCACTGCAGGCATTCACTACCAGTAATATCAAAGAGCTAGTGTCTTGTGCAAATATCAGGAACACATTGAGAAATGTCACTTCAATGATATACCACATATTGTGTCATATATTGCTTTGAATAACAAAAATGCCTTTCATTTTCAAATAAGCATACTATCGTTATTCAAACATTACCCTAGTAACGCGACGCTCTGAATGATGAGACATGTTTCACTTCGACTTCCGGTTGTGTTTTAGTCACCTGTAGGTAATGATTACACCTGTTTCACTGCGACTTCCGGTTTTGTTCTGTCGCCAACAAATAGTTATAAGATTTGATTTAAAGCGACTGATCGTTGTGTTTTTGGTCACCCTTAGGTAACGGCACAATAGATTTTGAAGAATTCCTACATATGATGGCGCGTAAGATGAAAGAAACGGACAGCGAGGAGGATCTTCGGGAAGCGTTTAGGGTATTCGATAAAGACGGAAATGGTTTCATCAGTGCCGCGGAACTACGTCACGTGATGACGAATTTAGGGGAAAAGCTGACAGACGAGGAGGTTGACGAGATGATAAAGGAGGCGGATTTGGACGGTGACGGGATGGTGAATTATGAAGGTAACATACGCATGGTGCCTGGTGTTACCAGTAACACGCCTGCTCAATGGTTAGGTAGGTCTGGATTATTAACATAGTAGTGATACACTAACCAGTTATAGGGAAGGTCTGGAATATTAACATAGTAGTGATACACTAACCAGTTACAAGGTAGGTCTGGAGTATTAACATAGTAGTGATACACTAACCAGTTACAGGGTAGGTCAGGAGTATTAACATAGTAGTGATACACTAACCAGTTACAGGGCAGGTATGGAGTTTTAACATAGTAGTGATACACTAACCAGTTACAGGGTAG